ACCTTACCAAAACCTTGCAGTTTGATCAAATAGCCATCATCATATCAACATCAACATCATCACATCATGATATGATGATGATGATGATTATGGTCATCAGCCTCATTACAACATCAACATCAAGATCATCATTTTATAGCATAATAACTTTTATTGTGATAATTATAATCATTATAATCATCAGCATCATCCTTGTTCCTAATATTATTGTCATATAAAAGTAACAGCATTAATATTTACTGTTATGTTTTAGGCAAGTAAAGATTCACAGACATGGGTTGTTTCAAGTGCTGACAAGATCAAATTTGACGCGATCTTCAAGACAGTTGACAAAGATGCTGATGGTCTTGTATCCGGTATGTTGATTCTTATAGTCAAATTTTATTGAATAATTACCAAGAATTGATAATCAATACTGTCTCTATTCTTTATCAGGTGAGGAAGTTAAAGATGTTTTCATGCATTCTGGTCTTCCACAGCCTATTCTTGCTCATGTTTGGTAAGCGTTTCTCATTCGTTCAGTTTCATTCACTCCCTTCTGTGAGAGCTTTTAGTTAGCCATGCCCTGATTTTGATCAACCCAAAAGTTGTTTCAGAGTATTGTTAAAATTTCTTATTTGAAATAACTTTTTGGTCTTTTATTGTTGTTGTTTATCAGGGGTCTTTGTGACTTCAAGAACAGTGGCATGCTCAATGCCGAGCAGTTCATCTTGGCTATGCATTTTCTTCAACAAAAAGTCAAAGGAGTTGAAGTACCAAAAGCTCTGACACCAGAAATGATTCCACCATCAATGAGAGGAAGCCTAACACCGATTACAACATCAACAGAAGATAAGGTAAAGATATGACTGCCATTTTCATAAACATGCAGCTGTGAGCTGTACACTGAAATTTGTTTTTTCACTCTCGGCAGTCAAAAATATGAAAAGTACAGACTGATTAGTTTTGATTGAGGGCAGCAAAAAAAAAATTTCAGAATGCTACTCGCAGCTAGCGAGTACTTGCATGTTTATGAAGAGTGGCAGTAGGATGCTAAGTTGGCATCTCACTGCCACTTTAGTAAACACGCAAGTACTCGCCTAACTGCCAGGTTCTATGCCACTATCATTGGCCAATGATGAACATTATGATGTTACTGAATGCTATTGTGCCTCTGTTGCATGGTGGTGTTGTCCTTGGGGTTTGAATGAATGAATGAATGAATGGCTATATGAATAATGGAAATTTAAGAGATGTTGCATCTCCACAAAATAATAATTGTTCTGTTGCTGCTGCTGTTGTTATTGTTGTTAAAGTTTTAATAATGAATGAATAAATAATTAGGATTTGAAGTTTATTTTTTTGGAGGGAGGAAAATTAGGAGAAAAACTCTCAAAAAAAAAAAAWWAWAWWAATAATAAATGGGATTTAGCAGTGGCATTTCCACAGAGTACTGTAGCTCTTCATCCACTGTAATTCGAATTGGAAAAAACGCTGGTGAAAATCAATAAACAACTCTTTCAGATGAGATGTGACAGTGCTGATTCCAGTAATTGAACCCAGGGCACATTAGCAAGAGCTTTCAGCACTTCCCACATATTAATTGTTGATATTGCTGTTGTAAATGAGGATTGTAATATTATTATTGCTGTTTTTGCTGTAGTTGTGGTATTTACTAAAACTCTTTCTATTTTCCAGGATGGTTTGTCTCTAAAAATGACTTCATCATTAGGAGATTTTACAGCTGTTAAGGAACTGGACAAAATTACTAAAGACATTGAAGAACTTGGAAGGTAAGTGGATATACCACAAGACGACAAATGTTTTCCAGTCATGAACGTAATAGTTTGACTTTGTCATTTTTTTTATTGCAGAGAAAAAATGACATTACAACGTGAAATAAACGAAACAGAAGACATGATTCGACAGAGAAATACAGAGATACAGGTAATACTGTGCTACTATTAACACAGCAATGTTACCATTCTTACTGTAAACTGTTGTGCTCCACACCCTCTTTATTTACTCTGAAACAAGCTCTGGGCTGATCCAAGTCAGGGCACAGCTAACTCACAGATGGAACCCTGAAACAACCTCTGGGCTGATCTAAGTCAGGGCACGACTAACTCACAGATTTAATCCTGAAGCAACCTCTGGGCTGATCTAAGTCAGGGCATGGCTAACTCACAGACCAAACCCTGAAACAACCTCTGGGCTGATCAAGGTCAGGGCATGGCTAACTCACAGAACTGAAATTTAGTGTGTTGGGTCTTCTGAGGGATGAAAACTGGAGAAACCAGAGAAAAAAACCCTTAAAGCTAGAGAGAGAGACAAACTCTACTCACTTGTGATGCTGAGTCCAGGAATTGAATCTGATCAGTACTTGCAAGCAAAAGTAACCCAGGTGTCCATTCTCATGCCATTTGAGACTTTATATAATTATATTTTTTCCACTGAAAATGAAAATGTCCAATATCTTTTTGTACTCTTTTTGCAGAACCTACAGTCAGATTTAGAAAAGAGAAAACTTAGCGTACAAGAATTAGAACAACAGCGACAAGAAGCACAAAGTCAATTAGATGAGCTAGATAAAGAAGTAAGTGCATGAACAAGCTTCTTAGTAAAATATAAAACTCTGTTGAATAATGTGTATGAAAACAGCAAATGATTGGTGTTGAGCAGATTTTGTAGGACTGAAATGGTTTGGTACATACATTCACTGTCACTGCAAATGATAGATGGAACATGTATCCTTTGAACCTGTTACAGCACTTGAGGTTACTATTTATCCAAATTAGTCCTTGGATACAGTACTTTCACAGTCAAATCTTTTACGCACTGTGTTCTAATGACGAGAGTCCATTAGCAGAGAACATTGAAACTTAGTTTTCTTAGCAGTGCTAAGAGGGGGCGAGTGAAAGAAATGGGGCCTGACGTTTTGCTTGTTCTTTCACTCCCTCCACCAATTATTCTCCCCTCTCCTCCCCCCTGTGTGCAAGACTATAGTATGTGCCAAATAGTTGGGCAATATTCAGATTTTGGGACAAATTTTTTAAACATTTTTCAAAATTTTAAAACTGATACTGTATGATTTTAGAAAGCTAAATATGATGAGTTACTAGCAGATATAAAACAGAAATGTCAGGAACAAACTAAAGTCGTAAGTATTGAATTATTACCTCGTAAATCTTGAATGGTAGAGCCTATTGATCTTCACTGAATACCGTAACCATACCCTAAGATGTCCTTAGATTTTTTTTACCTGAAAGTCATAATATGATTGTAAGAATTTTTTTTGTTTTTGTACAGATATCTGATTTACAGACACAGATTCAAAATAATCAAAAGTCAACGCTGGTGAGTATATTCTATAACTTTTTTTATTTCTATTTTTCAATTTTTTTTCATCAGTGAGGTGTTTCAATGTATCTCAAGGGTCTTTTTTTCCATTTGTTTGTTTCCTTGTTCATTCTTTTTTCATTCTTCATTCTGTTTTTCATTCTTTTTTCCCCTTCTCTCTTCCTTTTTAACATGTTATGCTGTGTTTTCCAAATGTCTTAGGTGCAAGAGGAGGAACTAAGTGAAGCAAAGTTTGAACTGAACAAGATTCGTGAAGAGGAGGCTAAGCTAGAACAAGAAGTAAGCACACCTTTATAAAAATAATAATAATGTCTTTGTTTTAGAGAGGGTGACACATGCCAGTAGCCAACTAAGCACTGATAAATTTGGCCTTATATGTTTAACATCTCTAAGTAAGAAGGGACCGCCATTTTACATGGTCTTCAGGTGCACAAGATTTGAAGAAAATTTTCCCAATTCAGAGTAAAGAACACACATAATTAATATAGACAAAAACAGAGCAAGGTCTCTTGTCAGTTTAACATAACACACTGACTCTGGAAGAGTAGTTTTATGCTAATGATTCCAACTTGTTTTGTGTTTAAGATTCAGTCAAGTAAGGATTATTTAGAAACAGTACAAAAACAGTGCAAGTCAGTACAAAGTGAAATAATGAAGGTATGGACAGATACAAACAACTCAAATTTACCCTACGATTATGATAGATGTGGCTGTAAGCCATGTGGGATGGACTTGGAAATCGTATAAGAACATACGTAATAGGTAAATTATGAGCCTTATATGAAACGACTGAAGACACAACTTCAAGTCGCGTAAAATGAGCCAGCTCAACTAGAAACCGTGGTTATAGTTTAGTGACAGTTGTGGCATCATTTCTCAAGAGTACATATATATTTTTCATAACACGATTATTCATTTGTTTTCTGTTTACTCTCAGACTCGGTCCAAGATTAGCACTCTCAAAGAGACAAACACCAGTCTACAATCGCAGATTGCACATTATAACTCCCTCATGAATAACACGTCAAGTAGCACACCCACGACAACCAACTCGCTTTTGAATGACTTCTCGCCATTATCTGATGGATTTGACATGACCCCTACCCCCTCGGAAACAGATGCAATGAGTGTCAGGGCCACTGTAAGTACACAATCTAATACTAAACAGCATCCTTTGATCATGTTATTAGAGTTATGACCCCACCCTATCCCTCTCAAGAACAGGCGTCATAAGTGTCAGGGCAATTGTATGTTATGTACACAAGATCACTAAACAGCCTCCCTTGATCGTGTCATTAGAATGACCCCCACCCTTCCCCCCTCAGGAAGAGATGCCATAAGTGTCAGGGCTGCTGCAAGTACACAAGGCCAATAAATCCCACCCTACTCACCTATGAACAGAAGTCATGACTATGTATTGTGTTTAACACTAGCTCTTTTGCACCATCAGGCTGGTAGTAGTCCTGTCAGCAGTCTCAGTGGCTTTAGTGTAGGTTCTGGTCGAGTAGACGAAACTGTAGATGACGATTTCAAGGTTAGCCCTCAGCGATTTTTTATACTTGTGGTTTTACACAGGAATTCCAGTATTTCCATCCAAAGTTTCTTGTTAGCGTTTTAAGAAAACTTTTGATAGTAAAACTTTTCCTTTTCTTAGGAAAAAGAAGCAAGCGATGACTTTAAGGTATGATTTCAGTTTGTTCTCTTTAATGAACGTTTTTGATAATTGGATCATTACAAAGAGAATACGTATGCACAGTTTTTAAGCGGAAGAATCTACATAGCACTCAGTTGATGTAATGTATTCAGTTTCAAGATGTAATATTCTATCTATTGCATTCATTGTATTTTTATGAATACATTACAGCAGCTGCTTGCTTCGTTGGCTCCAGTTTTTAAGTATTATTTTTTTGATTATATCACCAGGATGGCGATCCTTTCAAGGGGAAAGAGAACTTTTTCAGCTCGACTGATAATGGTGAGCCATGCAGGGCAATAAAACTGCTTATTGTTGTATGTCCAGGTTTTAGTGAAGGAAGGATAGGGAGAGGCACAATAGGAGACGGACAGACGGACGGACGGACGGACAGACAGACACAAGGACGGATGGCAAATGGATAGACAGATCTATATTGATGTTAAATTTATTTGTGTTTGATAACAGTGTTCTTTCTCCTTCACAGATTCCAGTGATCCTTTCCATTCTGACGACCCCTTCAAGTCCGATCCGTTCCATTACAAGAGTGTCTCTTTCGCTGATCCCTTCACTTCAACAGATCCTTTTGCGGTAACATTTTGATTGTGATTGATTTTGCTTTCTTATGCCATAAAGCACTGATCTAAAATCCTCTTTTGCCAAATTTTCACTAAAAGTAGGCCACATCCAGTAATGGGTCAGTCACATGATCATGATTAACACCATATGGGATGGTCTTGATGTAAAACTCATCTTTTTCGGCACTTCTTATTTTTTATTATCTACTGCGCATGGAGTCCCTCCATGAGAAGGCAAAACTACGATGACTATCCAAGTAACCTTCAAATTTTATCTCTACAATGGAAAGCCTTTGGAATGAGCAGGGCTCAGCTAACTCCAAATCAAATTGGAATTTAGCAGTTAGGTTTAATGTTAAGGGAGGAAAAGTGCACCTTTTGATGTCTGTAAAACAAGTGCTAAATCATGCATAAGAAATCACAAGTTAATATAATTTCAAGGACCGAACTGCAGGGGATTTTCATTCACATACTTTATTTTTGCCTACCAGGGAGAAGAAGACTTGTTCAAAAATGACCCCTTCAAAAGTGAAATACCGACCTCAAATGGCGGGACCACAGGACAAGGTGTGTCAAATGGTAAATAAATGAATATATAATGATAACTAAATAATGGTATTTAACAGTGGATTCCACAGAGTGGTTAATCTTCCACGGGATTCCATTTGAAATTCAGAAGTTGATGTTTATGGAGGGAGGAAAACTAGAGAAACTGTGGAAAAACCCTCGCTAACTGAACACTATTAAGCAACCACCCTCACGTTAATTCTCAAGTGGCTGCAAAAGAAAGAGTTGTCAATTAGTGGAGGTTCTAACTTATTTGCATCTTTGACGTGTGATCTCATATTTATATTGTTGTATTAGTGTATCGGAATATTTACTCTCTTTTATCCAATTTGCCTTTAGGACTATCATCATCCAAGTCTGACCCATTTGGAGATCCCTTTCAGAGTGCTTTTCCACCTTCTAAGGTAAAAGATAACATTTTATAGTGAATATATGTATATCAGTGAATAAAATCCTTTCACCTTGAATGACACAGCTTTACTTAGAGAGCTTGCTACTCTCTCTGATTTTATTGCAGGGCTCCAGCGATAATTTCTTTGCTTCAGACCCTTTCAAGCCTGTAACATCAAATGATGATTCCAACAAAACTCCAACCAATCAGAAGAAGAGTTCTAGTAATCAAGGTAAAGATCCCTTTGGTGGTGACCCCTTTGGCTCCAATGATCCATTTGCTGGTAAGTGCTGACCAATAGGTAGATAGACCACAGGTAGCCCAAGCTTAGTATTAGTGTAGGAAAACCCTTTTGGTGGGGATAACAGGTAGCCCAAGCTTAGTAAACATTCAAAGCTCTTATGTTTTTTTATGGCTCAACCCCTGAGAAAGTAACGATTTCTCCCTTCTTTCTCTTTCAGCTTCTTGAATCTTCGTTTATCAACAGAAATTAAATTGATCACAAGAATTATTTGGCATAAATGATAATGCAACCAGATAGACTGGTTTATCAAGTTTGACCTGTTGATTCATCAAATCGACTCAGCGCGCTAAGAAACCACGATAATGATGCATAGAGACAAGCAAACAGTAAATACCGTTGTCATGTATTAACCCTGGCAACCAAACAAGGCAGGCAAATATAGTTGAGTTTTGAATTAAATTCATATATAATTTTATGTATAATTTAGTACTGGGAAAGCTTAAGCTTTAATTACTATACTCAAAATATGATAAAATAAGCATAAATATTTTACTTAAATCTAATATTAACTATTCTAAATTTTCATCTTGCTTAAAAATGAAAAAGGTGGAGAGTCCAAAAAAAACATGTCATTTTTGTTTTAAATTGTGTTTTCAGTTTGAAGAAACACAAACACTGCATATTTGAATGTGCAGCACTTAATTGCCGTGTAGCTTAGCATAACAAGTTCATAGGCCTTCTCTGGGGTGACGAACGTAATGCATTCTGGTCATGTTCATCATCATGACATGATGTATGTATGTCATTTGTACTGAGCCAAGAAAATAAGACTTTATTTGCCTATCTCAGAAAATGCCTGTCTCATTGTTCACATTAGTTCACGTTCACGCAGCTCACATTCACGAACGTGTTTTCAAATCACAATTACAATGGTAGTTTTTATATTTTCTATTTTTTTAATGTTCTTTTTTTTTTTTTTTTTTTTTTTTTT